CAAATCTTCACATACCCGGACCCAAAACCTCTGGACAGGTGGACAGAGCCAGAGTGCATGGATATAATTGTCTGGCACATTGCCTGTACAATGGGAGCAGTTATTAGATGAAGTAAAACCCATCTTGAACATTCGCTGAACTGTATAATGTGCTCTATAGAGGACTTTATATTGTATTAATTGTAGATTGGAGTTTCTAGTTATTTTAAATGTTTCCAAGCATATGTTAGGTGTCTTGGTCATAGTTGACTGATAAGTCTTTCTCCCATTTTGCAACAGGTAGTGAAATTGAGTTATCTATTCCAGAGAGTTTATTGTAGATTTTAGATAGCAATTTGGGTGATTTAAGATGAAGGAATTCTAATATCTATTAGAACCATAAATATAGTACCATATTACAATACCTCTTTAATTAAATGAGTTACAACAACATCTAATTTCCCTCTGGGATTAATGAAGTATTTTTGAATTGAATTTAATTTCAGGTATGTCTCCACAAGCTGATTGGCTTCCTGTCCGAGATATAAATATATATCATTCAGACCAGACAGTTTTTTTATATATATATATCAGTCATTTTAACAGGAAATGCAAATACTTGTATGAAAGGATTTACAATGTAAAATTCTAGACTTCACTGCTTGAATGTTTCCGGTCAATTTTTGTAACAACCCTAGTTTTTCTTTTTTCCTTAGACATCTGAAGATTGAAGGCGTGGAAGGAAATCCAGTGGACTGGACCGTGTCCGATGTGGTCAGTTATTTCACAGSTGCAGGTTTTTCTGAGCAGGCAGCTGCCTTCAAAGCACAGGTGAGCCTGTTATCATCTCAACAACCACCAGAGGGTGCCTTTCAACTTTCTGATTTCACAGATTTTTAAACTTCAACAGTGTCAGAATTCCTTCAATCACTGCTTTGCTTTCTCGTTAGGAAATCGATGGCAAGTCTCTCCTCCTCATGCAGCGTAATGATGTTTTGACTGGCTTGTCAATCAAACTTGGCCCCGCCCTCAAGATCTACGAGCGTCACGTAAAGGTTCTGCAGAAAACACACTTCGAGGAYGGTGACTGCTAACAGCAACACGGAAAATACGCAAAGACTGTTACAGTATGTTTGTATTTAAATTTAGCTCAATATGGAAATGCATGCATGGTATACAGAATATTACTCTTCACTTTTCATCTGCTGATAAAAACCACTCACACACACACACACACACAAACACACTTTAAGATAGATCCCAGTGGACCTCTGAGCTGGTCTGGTCTACAAATGACCGCAGTATGGCTGAGATTTTTTTTAGACAGCAATGACTTTTCTACCAAACAAAGCACAGATGTTGGATAAGAAAAGCAAGCTCAAAAACATTTTCATATGCAGACATTCAAAGCAGCAATGCCGTTTCATTTTGTTCCGACGATGAAACAGTTTTCACTCGCGTGAGAGAAGTTGTATTTTTGTGCTGAGGACACCTCTGGGAGTGGAGGGTCAGAGTGGATTTGTGGAGGGATGTGATGCGAAGAAATCTTTGGGTTTGTTTCTGTCCATGTAGAGCACGTTGGATAAAACAGCAATCTAGRCATAGATCCATATTTACAAAAGCTGGAGGAAAGGGTTAGCATGCAGAGAGTTGACTGCAGACTTCCTGTCATTCCTGAAAGAGCAGAGTCAAAGCAATAAAGTAATAAATTCTCCATCATTGTTTGGAGATGGTTGATTGTTGTGTTGTTTATTGTCTTGTATAAAAACTCAGTTTTAAACTGAACTGTTTACAATCTGATTTGGCATATTAATAATTTTATGAAATAAATTAAAAAATAAAGATATAAGGAAAAATGCAGTTAATTAAATTAGTTGGCTTTATATCTGAAGTCAGTTTTGCTTTATTGCAGGGGGTTTCAAAGTCAATGAGTGTAATGCCCCCCCTCCTAAAAAATAATATTAATTACTTAATATAAAGATTGACTTTAAGTCAATTGTAATTTTTTAATTTAAAGGTTAAAAGATAATTCATGTTTTATTATTGGGCCCTGAACWTTTAATTTATTGGATTTCATGCATGTAAAAATGTTTGTGTTGCAGAGAAAGTTGTTTTTGGTTAGTTGTCTGTTGAAAGGTGTGTGTTGTGTACTGTATGTTCATCAAAGACTAATATCATAAAACCAGAACTGACCCGAGTTTCTGAGCTCACTGTGAACCTGTGCTTTTTACTATTTTTTTACACTTTTACATTGTTATGCTTACGTTTAGACAGTTCAAAGGAAAAAGTAATAAAAGGAACTATTGAACAATCAGTATCTTAACTGTTGTAGATAGCTCTTTAGATAGAATTACCTCAGTTTTTTTTTTTTTTTGGAAAGTTTATTTCTAATGGTTTTTTACGTATCAGCCTCACATAGCACAAGTGTTTTAGCAGAAATGTTATGCTGTTCATGTTGTGAGTGTCAGACTTCATCAGAAGGGCTACAGCTTATTAGCTATGTTTACATGCACAAAATTTTTTGATCAGATTGAAATGTATTCGGATTAAATAATCTGAATGTACTGTTTACATGGACACAATCTGATCATGAAAAGTGTTTACATGCACCGGAGTTTTATTCAGAATACAAGTCTGGACATGCACAGTGTTGTAAACGTTCAGCTCTACTCCCGTGTTACAACCATAAACAAAGCTCCTCTGAGCGCTCAGGATGGACCCTTGTCAGCTTTTAACAACGGTAGAGACGTGGTTACTCCCTGGTTGAGCTGCAGATGACAGTTTTTTAATTTTTAATTTTTGCAAAGCAACATCTGCTGTTTGCCTCCTTTTTCATCTGTTAAGAGAGCGAGGAGGAAAAGTTCTGTACGGTGCAGCGCAGCTGGAGCGCTGCTGTCCCACCGGGTGAATGAAAGTCAGCAGACATGCGCATAGGTGCACAGGTCAGTTTTCTACAATCAGAATAAGATGATCCCATTAAGTGTTTACATGAACGTCATTCCGATTATCAATCGGCATAACCCACCYGACTCATTCGGATTAAAAATTCATTCTGATCGAGTTCAATCGGATCAGAATAATCTGAACGGGCTGTTTACATGACGCATTTTATTCTGAACGAACTTTAAATCCGATTACTTATGTCCATGTAAACGTAGCTACTGCTGGAGTCTTACGACATCAACCACTTTGATCTTGGCCCTGCTGTGATTAGAGAGGCAGACGGCCGCCTGTCCTGAGCCTGGTTCTGCTGGAGGTTTCTTCCTGATTAGCAGGGAGTTTTTCCTCTCCACTGTCTGCTCAGGATGGGAGACTGTGATGAAGTGATTCAACACAATCTGCTGGCTTCTTCTTTAGATTGTTCTTTTTTCATGTACAGTGCCCTGAGACAACGTATGTTGTGACTTGGCGCTATATAAATAAACTGAATTGAATTGAATTGAATTGATTAGCATTCAGCTAAAATTAAACCTTATTTGACTGAACTGAGGTTGTTCAAAGAGCATCATACAGCTGGGAAAATAATAAATGTGCCTAAACTTTCCACATAACTCTGCTTGAAAATATCTGAACTATCCCTTTAACAGCCTGGTAAAATTGAGAAGTAAATACTACTCAGTAAAACTTTTGTTTTTCTTACAGTAATTTCGATGAATAAACAGTTTTTTGTAGATTGCCTTTTGAAGTTTCGACTCAATATTTAATCACACATGATCTTAGTTTTAGTCCCACATAAACAGCTGGTGCAACATGTTGCAATATTTTCTTTAAAGCAACCAGCTGATGTCCTCATTGCATATATATATATA